TCAATAAACTGTCACAATTTTAAGCTTAGATTTTGCTTATTTTGCATAAAAATTGTACAACACAGACGTGTAGTTCAGGGACGATCAGAAAGTCTGAATATTCCTTCTGTTTTACATTTTATAGTCTCGATAAATGATGTAATTTTAGAGGGTTAAACAGCCAAATCTCTGATGATCCTCAGCTGTCTTTGGCTCTTGTTAGTGACATTTCAACAGAATTGATTTCATATTTCTTCTCTTCGCTCTCAAATTACAGCTCCACTCTATATTGCTTCAATGATCTCCTCACAGTTTATGGTCCAGATGTATGGATTCTGCTGACTCTTACTTGCTAAACATTCATTGCTTTGTGAAGCTTCGTTTAGTTGATATGCTGAAGCAGCAGAGAATGTGCACTTCTCATACAAGATAAGTTACCACGAGTCTGTTACTGTCTTCACCACAAACCAAACTCTTCCTGCGTCTGCACCTTTCCCCTCTCACAGGTGGAGAATGAGGCATCAGGGGAGGACTGTCGGCTGGGCAGGAGGGAGGGACGTCCTTTTTCTGGGGTCACAGCCTGTGTGGACTTCTGTGCTCACGCTCACAAGGACACTAGCAACATGAACAATGGCAGCACCGTGGTAAGCAGTCTGAAAGTGTGACACCATGCACTTGACTTTCATATTCAAAGGTCGATGGTTCTAGTTTTGAATCAGTGTTTCCTGTATTGATCAGATACTGTTTGGTTGAACCATTTTCCACTTGTCTCGTTTCTTTTTTTTCTTTTTTAAGGTTTGCACTTTAACCAAGGAAGATAACCGTGCAGTGCGTAACATACCAGAAGATGAGCAGCTCCACGTGCTGCCACTTTACAAGATCTCCGACAGAGATGAGTTTGGTCAGGTTGAGGGCCAGTGGGCCAAGATCCAAAGTGGTGCACTGCAAGTTCTGTCTGCCTTTCCCCGAGAGGTGATTGAACATGAAATTAGCTTTTGTTATTCAATAGTATGCTGCTGCAAAAAGGTAAAACTATTTTATTAACATGTATCACGTTTTACATCATTGATTTTGTTGTGTATCAGGTTCGTCTGCTGGCTGAACCGGTGAAATCAGCCCGTAAGATTAGGCAAGAAGCTCGTCAGAAGGCTCAAGCAGAACGGATGGAGAAGAAGCTCGGCCTGACTCCTCTCACTCCAGGGAAAGTAAAAGTTGAAACCCCCAACAAAGGTATTACATCAAAGTTTATGGTTTTTCAAAGTTTTATAAATTAGCCGTGTTTCCATATCGGATTTTTTGAAATGTCAAAAGAAAAAAACTTTTCTGAAAAGAAAATGTAAATTAGGCTCGTGTCCATTAATGCTTTGGAACTAATAAACTCAGCTGTGTAATGTAATCAGAAGGTGGTGGTGTACGCTACATTATGCATGACTGTAATAAACAGTAGAAGAAGCAAGAAGCAAAACCAGAGGCCTGTACCACGAAGCAACGCACCCAGGGCATCTTTTTGTTAACTGACTTCGCTAGACCTAACAACCACTTTCAACTCAGTAAGTCAACCCAGGATTCCTGAATCTAGCAATGATCACATTCACATGAAAGGTGTGGAATTGGCACTAGATGACCAATCACAAGCATGGATAGGTGTAGAATCGTGTTGTTTTTATAGGAAGAACAAACTCTACACCTAAACCAAAATGAGGAGAATAAAAATGCTAATAGACACATGGCTACATCAGCCAAAGTAGGAAAAAAAGTTGAATGCAGAATGTGTAAAGTTAACAAGCTTCTCAATATCATTGCTACATTGTACATAAATTGCCTAGATGTAGCTTTAGAATTTAAGATTCTCTTTAATTATCATCGCTCCTCACAAAAACACAAATTAGACAAAGAATGACTTACCACATTGCAAAAATAAACATATTTTTATAATGATGTGGAGGATAAATTTCATATTCTCACATTGAATTACATTCCTGTGACGTGTACGACAGTTTTAGCCTTATGCCACTGCTGTAACCTCTTGAACACTTTTGGGAGCAACTGAAGAACAAATATAAAAACACTATTCAAACTGGTAAGTAAGCTTACTGCACATCTTATAAGGTCAACAAGTAGGCTATAAGGTTTTAGTGTTTTAATCAGTTTCTGTTTTAGGATTATATCGCTTCACAAGGGAATTTAGAACAACAAAAGGCTCTTGAAATCACTTGCAGCTCAAACAACTCCTCTCACTATCTGTGCACTGAGCTCCATGAAATCTTGTACAAATGGTGAGACTTTTTTCCAAAAGCATTGTTCGGTCAGTAGCATAGATTTTAATACACATTATTCCGTTGTCTTGAACATTACCTGCTCCGGAGCAGGTTAGGTGTTCAGCATAAGTTACCGTGGTGATATACCACTGTCGTAGTTCTAAAAAACCCCAAGTTAAACCAGAAGTTACTCACTAACCTCAAATCCTGCTTCATAGTACAGGCCTCAGTTGTTTTCTAACCGCTAAGAAACCTTAAAAGAAGAACAAACAAATTAAACTTTGCCCATCTAAAAGAGAGAAAAAAGAGAAAAGGTGATTCCATTTTCCATTATTTTGATTAACTCTTTTTTCAAAAAGTGGAAAAAAATTACCTAAAGCAAACTTAAAAACTGTTTCGTGAAATTAAAAATGTTATTATTTATTTTATTTTGCCATTTCTATTAATTTTTTCTAATGTGATATTTCAAAATGTTATAGAAACACGGCTATTTGGGTCAAATTGTGTAATGCTGTTGGGGTGTCACCTCAGATTTTCACAACAAAAATATGTTTGTTTTCTGCTTTCGAAAAAGAGCCACAAGGCTACTACAGCGCTTACAGACTACCACCCAGACCTGCCAGTGTTGGAAGGTACCCACCTGAAAGGAATCAACCCAGCACTTACAGCCAGAGCACCAGCAACTACCCCACTCCAGGTGCAGGGGTCGCCCCACAGAGGGAGGTCATCTCGCCCAACCACCACGGCCTGCCGGGCCTCCAGTTTGGACAGAATGGCTCAGCTCTCACTTATAAGACAATGAGTGACACCATGAATGGTTATTCTCCAGCATCTGGTAACCAGAGCATTCTGTCAGAACATATACCTCCACACAACACCCTTAGAGACTACCCCAGTCCTTTTAAAACTGAGCCCAACGAGGTGCACTGCTCTCCTCTGCGCAGACTCTCCCCCAGTGCTCCTCCTCCCTCCTCTTTCTCCCCCAGACCTACCTCTGAGGGCCTCTTCAGCAGGCTCAACGGACTCCACAGGGCTGCAGAAGATGTCGCAGCAGAGGTCAGGGATCATGGCCTCCCTCCGGTCGCATCTCTCGCTCTTCCCCTACAAGCTCCCCCAATTGAACCGGAGGAAGTTAAGCAGGAAGAGGTGTGGTCGGACAGCGAGCACAACTTTCTGGACCACGAAATAGGCGGAGTCGCCGTGGCACCATCGCATGGCTCCATCCTAATCGAGTGCGCGCGGCGGGAGCTCCACGCCACCACCCCGATCCTCAGGCCCAACCGCAGCCACCCCACCCGCATCTCCCTGGTCTTCTACCAGCACAAGTCCCTGAATGAGCCAGGCCACGGAATGGCTATGTGGGACGCCAAAATGGCCAAGCGGGAACGGGATCGGGAGGAGGAGGCCGAGAGGTTAAGGATGGAGGGCAGCCTGGGGAAAAATGCTGGAGGGGCGGAGGGAGAGGAGGATGCAGGTGAGGACGCAGAAGAGACGAGGAGGAATATGAATGTCCCCACACGTCAGGCATGGACTCTCCCGAGGGATGGCGTCATCACCGTGTCCCCTTATGCTCTTACCCAAGTGACGGGCCCTTACAACCGCTGGACTTAGTCAGCATGTTTTACACCTAAACACACACGAACACACACACACACACACACCCACAGAAACTCCTACACCCTGTGCTTCTGCCTTACCTCAATCAACTTCAAACTGCTACTCTCATTTTTATGTCGTTTTCATTGTGCTTTTCTAATATCTGTTAACTTTGTCCTTCTTCGTCTCTGCCTTCGAAGTGATGGGGAAGACCAAAGTTTGTTGGCTTTTTAACTGTGAGTTTCGGTGTTGGTTTTTATTGTATAGAGATGGTGCTTTGAAGCATTTAAAGACGTTTTTAAACTGGTTTTATATACATGATAACGAACAAAAAAGATGTGATTATTTATTCTGATCATAACGATTTCTATTTAATTTCTGGTGTAAGCCTGTTTACTGCAAGATTTCTATGATAACCTGCATTATGTGTTGACGCTCAGAATTTATGTTGTACAGTAGGACTATACTTTTTTTTTTTTTTTTTTAATTTCAGCCAATAGTTCTCTTTTCATGAGATGAATCTGATTGGCTTTTACATTGGTGCCATTCTCACTGTAATCTTTGTTAACTCATTACATCACATAATGTAGAATACAAGACTAATATTGTGCGTATATTTACTACAGATTGTCACATGTAGCATTGTGCTTTTCCTTCTGCTGCCTCTGACTTCCGTTGGTGGTTGATGAAAGAACTGTACGTCTTTGGTTTCTTGTTTTGTTTTTTTTCTCTACATCTGGATGGTTTGTCTTTTATTCACAGATATGTATGGCATATTAAGAAGCACTTTTTTTTATTTTCCTAAACCTAACTTGAAAAAGGTCCCAGTCCATAGGCCTAAATATGTATGTACAGACAGAGATATATATGACAGTTTAACATGAACCCTGTTTTATTTTTACAGTATTTCTGCATTTGTTTGCTTTTCACTCATTTGATCGAAAACGGCATACATATCAAATGAAACTTAATGAGGAATCATGAAATGCTGCATTAGTGAAGTGCTTGTCATTAGTGGCACTTAACTTTTGTTCAGCTTCTGGAAAAGAAATTCAAAAGTCTTTCAGAGGGAACAAGTGTGATCATAGGAATTCAAAAACTTACTGTACATTTTAATGGTGCTAACGAAACCTCTGTTTGTTTTTTACAGAAACCACAAAGTGTCACATTATGTCAAACAGAATATTGCCAGCTTTGATGTCCATACTCTGGATTTGAATATAAAAAAAAAAAAAAACTGTGTTAGCCACTGCTGAATAGTCAAACTATTTCCTCTGCTGCCTCCTCCTCCTCTTTCCTCTTGTTGTAAAACCACTCAAACATCAGATCCCACTCAGACAATTGCCTAAGACGATTTCGGGTGCTCGACCCTCGTGAAGACTTTGTTTACAGAACTTTCTTACAGGGTCTGAATAAAGGGGTTGCTGTCAACTCCTGGTGAATCAGGATTTTTAGTCTGTTTTTTTGTTACCCATGAAAGAAAAGCTCTTCATTTTTAAGAACACATTAATAAAATTTTTAGCACAACCGGTAAAGACCTTTCACTGATATTCACACTAACGCTGATGGCATAAACATGTTTGCCTTTTTTTTTTTTTTTTTTTTTTTAAACACATTCTTTGACTTGCTTTTGGTGCTAATAGGACAAGATGTCAAGGTACACACATTGACTTAACCTGCTTATTTACTTACATAACAGTGATGGCATGGTGCTTTTTCAAACTCAGCACTCACTGATCTGTTGTAGGATTCAATGCAAAGGTAGTTTTTATCATTTCTCTGGAACGTTACTTACTTGACAACAGACTGAGATGCATTAGCTGCGATGTTTGTCGAGCGCGAGTACAGGAAAAAAAAAAGAAAAAAAACAGGCAAATTACTGTGCAGATGTCCATGTAGAGTTCAGATGTCTTCCACGGATAACCCAGCTCTCCAATAGTTCTCAAAAATCACAACATACATGCAAGAGAAATGAATGTAAACAATTTTTAAATCTGTTGATTTAGAAAGAATATTTTCAAACATCACATGACAAAATTACTGTTGTAAATGTTTCTTTCGATTTACTGTGGCTGACTTTTTCAGTCCACGTTGAACATGTTTGTATCAATAAGGAACTAACAAAGAGCACCAGCATTCAAAAAACTGAAAAAAAAACAAAAAAAAACTTTTATTAGTAGAAAATGTGTAAATATGTATGTGAACCACATTGTTTTTACTGTATTGTTAATGGTGTTTAGACAATGGGTGATCTTGCTTATTTTGAAACTGAATTACTGTATGTTGCTGCAAATATATCCAGTTTAGACTTGAGAAGAGACTAAATTTAGCATTCCTTTTATGGATGGCTGATCTCTTTCGGGATTGTGAAATAAAGTCATATTTATATTTTGGACCTGATCATGATTTCCTCCTTTTTTTTCTCTCTCTTTCTGAGTTTCCCACAGTTGCTGTATGACTGTATGACTCACTGCTGAGGAATTCCAGTTTAGAAATCGAGACTTTAACCTTTAATATCTGGGAGTAAAACACTTGTTTTAGCACAATTTGTCTCCTGAGCTGACAGTATGTTGTTTTTTTCTGGCAAATCACATTAAGCATGTAAAAAGAAAAGCAATTCCTCAGTGAGATCTAACTTAATGCCTTCAATAAATGCAAGAATGTTGTAGGAGTTTGCTCAAATCCAAAAATAACATGAATCAGTATACCACAACATTAGTTTTAAGATGTGAATAAACCTGCTGAGATCCACTGTTAATACTTTGCTGCTGAATCAGAAAAGTTGTTTACAGGACCGCACTGCAGCTGCTGTTTTGTTTTTTAACCTTACAGCAATTCAGTGTATTTTGTCCATAATTTTTAAATGTAATCAAGCTCCAGTCATTCAGCTCATGTTTTTTTGTTTGAAAATATTCATCTTCTAGACTGGTGACCTGTCCAGGGTGTCCCCTGCCTTCGCCCTAAGTCAGCTGGGATAGGCTCCAGCCCCCCCACCACCCTAATGAGGATTAAGCAGTGCATAGATGATGGATGGATGGATCTTCGGTAGCCTGAAGCAGACTCGAGTATCACTATAGCAATAAAAACAGAGAAGGCAGTCTGCAGGGCTAGAAGTACTCAGTTACTACGGCGTAAAACTCAACCATCAAAATTAAGTACCACAAGTATTTATTATACATAAAGGACCATTTTTGAATAATGATATTATTGATTTAAGTTGTCTATACTTTTTGTGTGCATATACATGTAATGTTGTAGACAGTAAAGGTGAAGCTCATTTTACACACTTAATACTCACGGCTGGGTACCTTGTGAATTCAATTCTGTAGATCCAGAAAGTCTTACATTGTTCTATAGATCATAATAATTTAGTGGTTGATTTTTAAGTACCTCTTAAGTAACTGGTTAACACATATATGTATTGGAATACAAAGTACAGTTTTACAAAGTCCTAATACCTGAAATTTGTTCTTAAGTTCTTTTATTTTCCACGACTGACAGCAAAAGCATGAGATTTATAATGACACAGACATATTCAGTGATATTTACACAGTGCCACATTATGTCATCTCACTGCACTTTACATAGTAGAGTAAGTTCACACCTTACTGTATTATAGAGAGAAACCCAATAATTACCTTTAAGCAGCACTTTGCAAGAGCAGGAAGAATAGTCTTTGGTAGTAATAAGCAACACTTCATGATGATATTAGATCAGCAGTGATGTTGCATAAATGTCATTAAGTGCTGTGAATTTCCAATTATTTCATTTACTGGCTGAGTCACAAAAGACTTGCCTGCTCGTAACTAACTGCTCAATTACATCATTGCATTGCTACAAAATAAAATTACTTAATGCTTCAGGAGAGAGGATTTTATCTACACTGAGGAGAAATATAAATGCAAATGCTCCTCTTTTCTGATTTGGAGAAAATGTAAAAATCTCGTTGCTATTGGCCGTCATAAAATTCAGCTTTAATCAAATGACACAGATGACAAGTGATAGATGTAAACGGACTGTTGGTGGGCCAGATGCTGACATGTCAGTCAGGGCTGTGGTCAGGCACTTTAATGTCCAAAACTCTAACATTCGTCATCAAAGAAGTTGTTTCAGACGGCATGGTGCAACAGACAATCTGCCACATGATGCTCTGGATACAATGAGTCTGACAATGAGATTCTGTTCCCCGAAATGTCCGTCAACTTCTCCAGACCCTTCAAAAAGAGTTGAGCAACACTACTCAAGCTGCATCAATAACCTCAGACGTGTGACAGACATGTGACTCCTTACAGAGTTGTGAGTCTATGACCTCACTCTTTACCCACTCACTATCATTTCCATTATAGTGCAGAATTGTTTGAGATGCCATGTACCGGAACAAACATTTATTCTCTAATGTCAAACAGAATGGATAGAATTTAATAATACATTACCAGCTGCATTTACATTTTTTGTTGTATTTCACCCACCTTGTTTAAATCTTCATGCGGCAAGGATGCTCATATAGATAAAAGCTTTAAATGTAGAGAAATAGCTAAGCAACAACGTACTACACACAAGAGAAAAGAATAATTCAGTTGTGTAGGAGATATTTATTAAGTAGCCCTGTTGTTTATTAAAAAAAATTTATTATTTGCATTTTTTGTTTTCTGCATGAACACCGTTTGATGGATATTTATCTGAAGAAATCTCTAGGAAAGACACTGCACTCTGTGAGACATACATCTTTAAATATAGACTTCTTGGTTTCAGGTCATTCGCCTGAACATGGGCTGCGGCGGCTTCCGTAGGAGTGTGAGTGGATGGAGTGACGCAGAAGCGCCGAACGGGCAGATCATTTCTACAGTCAAGATGGCGACATCGGAGCCGGTAAGAGAGACAAGAGATAGCTGAAAAATTCGACTAATGTGCTCGGAAAGGCGAGCTACATCTTCACTTTATCGAGTGACTTTACGACGTAACGTCGCCTCTTTGAAACGGCGTTAACGTTCAGGCGAAATTGTTGCGTTTCAGCTCACAGATGTTCGCGTGGATTAGCGTTAGCATGCACAGCAATGTGATGGATAAGCCTGACTTTGTTGGCAGGGAGGGAGTGACTGACTGGACGTCGTTCATTCAAACTCAAATCAATGAATTGTTTTAATCCACTTCGATATTAGAGTCAGTGTCTTGTGGTGGTTTTAACCAACCACACACACCCTCACACGTCCTTCAGATTATATTATTGGTTTATTTTTTGACAATCTGCACACGTGTGTATCTAGCTGGTAGCTAGCTTAGCACGTCTGCTAAAACTAATGCTAGCAAACGTTCACTGTAAAGTTGGCCTAGGTTTTACGTACTTGAATATTTTTTCACTAACCTTTACCCATATGTTTTCTGTGACTTATTACATGTAGTAGTTAATCATGTCGACGTTGTAAAGCTGGACGCTGATATTCGACTCCAAAATGAATATTTGCATTACATGTCGATGGTATGAAAGTGAACGGTCTGTTGAATGGTGTGAGAGATAGCTGTGATCCCCAAGAAACACCAATACCCGTAATGTAGACGTGATAGCCTCTAAGGTCCACCATTTTGCTGGTACTTTTTTTAGCCAGGTTGACCAGCTACATGGGTGTAGAAAGCTGTCACCTACGTGTAAATTTAAATTTAGGCTGCATTATGACATAAACCTACACCAGAATGCCACATCACGGTTGTAAAATATTTATACACCTCCCACCTGCATGACAAATGAACTAACTCTGCACTTTTATGATGCCGATCACTGGATTTCAGGGGATGAGATGCAGAGATATTTTTAATTGAATGACTTTTGTATTCAAAGAAGGTGTGCTCGTGTGTCTGTCTCCTCAGAAAGCAGCTGAAACTGAAGAACAGCAGACTGACAGTCAGGTTGTTGCGAATCCTGAGCAGTATATCAAACACCCTTTACAAAACAGGTGAGAAGAAACGTTTTGTGCTTCCACAAATTGTTATATTTTGATACCAAACAGCATTTTCAGATCATCAGAAATGATTGAGATATAATTTGTAACACCTTCCAACTAATACTGCATTGCAGCTCTTTGAAAACGTGTTATTTTGCTGCATCTAAACTCTAAAAATGTATTTATGAAAAATTCTAACCATGGCACGAATATAACACTAGTTAGCGAGGTTAATTATTTAGGAGGGTGTTAACACTTTAAAGGGGCCTCCAGTCTAATACAGACTGTGTTGTGGGACATGTCAAAGTAGCCCAGCTCAATGATTATACTATTATACAGGTAAATGTACAAAGAAATATTCCCCTTTTAGAGAAAGATAGTAAATTGCTGCCCACTTTAACACGCTTAATTTACATTTGACCAACCTGGTATACCAGTTGTATCCCTTCTCTCATCCATTTAAAGAAAAGCACATTTCATCCATGTTTCTTTTGGGGGAAAGGTCACCACTTTGACTCTTGCTCTTTGGCCTCACACATAAGTACTGATCTTGCATTGTTAGTCTTAGCCTTACTCCTCACAGTCATTGGGTGGGGGATGCTGCTTGTGTCGCTACTCCCTGCTTAGTCGACTTAATCAAATTGCTTTCCTAGTCACACTTAAGATGTGTGTCTTCTGACGATTTCCTCATCGACCTATATTGTCTGTTATTCTGTTTCAGAACTTTTGTATTTAACACATTGATTCTGAGCAGCATACTGAGCTGAAATGCTTTTAAAAAATGTGTGTGTCAACTGGTAGATATTTGTGTTTTGTTTCGGTGTGCCACGGCAAAGAACATTATACTTTCAAATAATTTACAGGTACGTGGTAGATATAGTTGGAGGCCGTTCTAGGTTTAAACCAGAGGTGCAGATTGGAGGATTCTGCTTCCTACTCTCCGTGTTAGTGTTGCAATTGTTCACTATTGTCTTTTTAGAAATGTTATCATAGTTCTGTGGTGGTGACGACCTATTCAGGAGCATTGTACGGCCGGTTTGGGAAATGCTGAGTAGTTCACTTAGTAAGTCACTTCTAGGCCTTTCTGCCTGTTCAGCCCAGCCTCACAGGTAAAGTTGGTCCAAATCTGCTGCTTTAGCCTGGCTCACATTGTCCTGTCATTCCGGTTTTAGGTGTTCAGATTATGTAGGAACAATCTGTGGTTAGGTTTTGTTTTCTACTCTAACACCTTTAGCAGTAGATGTCTCAGGTAGAGGGTGGGGTGTCGTCACCTCTGTCTCCTTTCAAACTGTTTTTCATTGTAAGCAGTTGTGGCCTGTTAAATTATTTGAAATTTGTGGTTAATTATCCTTTCCAGATATGTGTTGTAGCTTGTCTTGTGTTACTGTTGTAACCCCCTACTGCAGTAAGTAGGATTGGACCTTTTCTGTAGTGAGGTGATTTGAATAAATGTGGTATTGTTTAAGCTTTCATATCTTTCAGCAAGAATAAAAATTTAGCCTGCAGGTTCAGTCAGAGTTGTCTAGACACTTGAGCGGAAGTCACGACAAACCTGCTTGAGTTTGGCAGCGCAGCACTTTTATTATATCTGCTTTCATTTTGTAAAGAGTTTGGTTCTTTCTGTAGTCCATGGAGGTGCATCCACAGATGGATTTGGACAGGCTGCACAGCTCTGTTACTTAACTGTAACATAAGTAGACATGACGATCACTTTCAAGTTTCAAGTCAGGCAACATGATTTTCATGTGGCACTGACATTAGGGGAAACCAGCAGGAACCGGAAGGAACCAAAAAACACATTCAGTTTCAAACAACTTGTAGTCTGCTGGGGAAAATTAATGAATTTACAATGTATTATGTTAGTAGGCCTAAAAATGAACAACATCAGTATTATTAAGGCTTCTATTAATTTATTTCCATACATGGATGATCTATTCTCTCGAAACATGAATGAATGTAGACACTGTACAAATAAGACTTTGAGAATAGAGCCATTTGCTGACGTGGGATTTCACAAAATTGGGAGCTTCATCAATCTGTTAAAGTGACAGCATTCTGTCATGTAGACACAACTCGTCTTCACACTAATCTTCCTCGCAGTTACATCAGACGCTCCAGATAGAGCCACTGTACATGTGTGAGATTTGCAGTTCATGCAAGAGTGGACAGTACATCAAGGTTGAAGGAGCTTCGAAGAAACAAACGGCTAAACCTAAACTGATAGCAAGCTTATCGCACTGTCCAAATAACTGGATAGCTCGAAAGTAGTACTAGCAAACATGTGTACTACTTAGCAAGCACTCATATGTTGAATGGTTGCAATAGTGCTTCCTCAAAGACAGATGGACGGGTTCTTCTTGTTCCTCCAGCACCATGTTTCTAGTTGAATTTGAAAACATATCTGTTAGCAAGACAGCATGCGGTTCAGACCTGTGCCGTGTTGAAAGTGGTTTGGAAATCATATGTGCCAAGATCTGGTATAAGAAGAACCTCCAGTTATAGCTAAAAAAAAAAAATAAGAGCATAGCCTACCTGATTTTATGAGCTAATGCTGATACCGTATAGTATAGTTAGCTAATTCTAACTTTTATAGTATAAAAGTCCAGTGATTATTCGCCAAATCTTTTTTTTTCCACATCACATGTTAGGATATTTTCTTTTTGGTTTGTTTCGTGGCTAAGATGTACTGAATTTAACATTTTCTATTTGAAAAATCAACTTTATCTGCATTTGTGGTGGACTAACTATTTGAAATGAGGTGCGACTGTGTTTCTGTCATTTAAGTAGTTTGACTCTTCTACAGTTACTGTTCTGCAATGTCTTGCTACTTGGGTAACATTCAATAGCATAGATTAAGACATAAGTGTCGCTAACATCTGGCCTAAAATTACAATTTTAACTTAAATGGAGACTCTCAACCACCAACAATCATTTAAAAATTAACATTAACCCTCTTACGGTATTAAGAATATTGGATTTTTAGATAAATGTTTGCTTGAATTATACTCGTGAACAGAGGTGCTCGTTTTTACATCTATTTTGTTTCATCTGTTTGCGTGTGTCATGTTTTTGGTAAGACATGATCGCCTAGCATTCCTGGTAAATTAAACGTTGTATAACCTATATTAAAAACCCACAGTAACTACCTCTTTGAGCAACTCCTGTTTACCCATGTTTAGTCTCTCTATTTGTGTTGCCTTTATTTCAAAACAGGAGGCTACAGTTAACCACAATAGTTTCAATGTTTGGCAATCAAATGCACCACCTGCGTTGACGTACTGTCCACCATTTTTGTTTACATGTCCCGACTGAGCATGTAGTCATTTCATGCGACTCCTCTGGGTTCACCACAGGAGCAGCACTGTCTCGTCTACCTAAGTGTTGTGTAATAAAGTGTGTCAGAGCAGTTGCTACATGGCACAAACGCGGTTTCGTCGTCTGCCTTGGCTTTGTTAGCTTCATTTTTATGGCACATGGTGGGATTGATGTTACAGTGGTGTGTAGGGGGGGGGCACAGAGTTCAGCCGATGTCCTCTCCGTGCCTTCATCCCTCCCCTGCTAGCCCCGTCCCTCCGATGAAAGAATAACACCACCCATCGTAAACAAAGGCTGCATTTGTAGTGCTGGTGATGGCCGGCCTTCTCTGTTCTTTGCATTGACATGCATGCTTTTGTAACTAGCTGTTGTGTTCTGTGGTGGAACAGGGTGTATATCTGTACTAGGACTGGGTTATGTTTCCTCTATTTACAGGAGCGACATACAGTTAAAGCCTTTTTAGACACACACTAATCCTACTGACACTTTTGTTGTTAGTTCTAAGAAATAATGAGACTTTTTTTTTGTAAATGAAATAAATCAATGTTCACTGTCGTTGTTATTTACCCTCCCTCCTGTGAATACTGAGTTTTAATTCTTGTCTTTCCCCTTTTCAGATGGGCCCTGTGGTATTTCAAAAACGACAAGAGCAAAAGCTGGACAGAGAATCTGCGTCTGATTTCTAAGTTTGACACAGTGGAAGACTTTTGGGCGTAAGTTTTCCGTACCGTCTCTGTAATGTAAATATGATTTGTCGCTATATGGTGATGACATTATTAGATATCATTTTGTTTGCATATTCATAATAAGGATCTTTGTGAATTATGTGAAACTGTCCTGTGTTTCGTACAGATTATATAACCACATACAGCAACCAAGCAAACTCGGCTTTGGCTGCGATTATTGCTTATTTAAGGTGAGTTTTGGTTTGATTTTTGTTTGTTTGTTGCTTATTTTTTTACACAATGACATCAGTTTTATTTAAAAAATTTGTTTCCTTTGCTGTATTTAAATTGCATTCATTTAGCCAGCAGGGTTAAATGTTTCCCTGAAAATGGGTAGCTGTCTTTTTTTTTTTTTTTTTAAATTAAAGCTGTTCATTATGTTTGCCAGGATGGGATCAAGCCGATGTGGGAGGATGACAGGAACAAACTCGGGGGTCGATGGCTGATGACCCTCAATAAACAACAGAGACACAATGACCTTGACCGCTACTGGATGGAGACGGTAAGACGACCGCTTTTACTCTGCTTCTGTTCAAAATGAATCAGCAGTTTCATACACTTCTCCTGATGACTGTGAATTTTTATCATTTTTGTTAAAAAGCACAATGTGAATCATATGAGGCGTCACGTTTTGTGTTATTTGCAGCTCTTGTGTTTAGTCGGTGAGTCATTTGATGAGGCAAGCGAAGATGTGTGTGGAGCTGTGGTCAACGTCAGACCCAAGGGTGACAAAATAGCCATCTGGACGAGCAACTGCCAAAACAGGGAAGCCATCATGACGATAGGGTAAGTTGTAAAGTCACATTGCTCAAAATATGCAATACATACACCAGTAATGGAAAGATTACCAGTTTGCTAGCTGTAGCGCACCACTAGGTGGTGACACTAAGTTAGCATTAGTTTTCACATAGCATTCAGTTTACATCTCGTCTTTCCACAGGCAACTTTACAAAGAGCGTCTGAACCTCCCCATCAAAGCCATGATTGGCTACCAGTCACATGACGACACGTCCAGTAAGAGCGGATCCACCACCAAGAACATGTACTCCGTTTGAAAATCTTCGCCCTCATTTCAACTTGCTGTAGATTTAAACAATTACCAATCTGCATCATCACATTAATTTTTGAGTTTGTCAACTACTGTAGTGTCCTTTCCTTTTATTGCGAAGAGAATTGTTCATAGTGTGTACAGCTGGAACTTCCCCCGACACAAGATTTCAGCAGAGCGATAGTTATAAATAGGGAGGAGGCTGGAAAGGAGAAGAGTTTCTGGCTCGAGATGTCATAGGAGAGCAAGAGAACACAAATGATTTCCTTTTAGAGTTGAAGAGTTCTGTGATTAATGCCAGTAACCCTCCCTTAGCTTGAGTTGCAAAAAGAAAAAAAAAAGAAAAAAAAAAAAAAGAATCCTTAACTATAAGGCCTTGTGTTTTTCTTACGCCGAGTTCTCACTCCTTAGAGTGTTTCTCACCTCACTGGAAAAGATAGTGGGCAACTTAATCTTACACAGAACAAATTTTAAGGGCAATTTTAACTTGATTTATCCAAAAGTGTTACGCATGAGTTGGGCTTTCTGATGCACCAGCTTAAAGAATCTACAGTATCTTAAAGGTTTGTAAAAGCTGTGGTCACACTCCAAAGTGTAGGGTTTGGATTTAGGCCACTTATTGTTTCAGCCATGCTGGAATTGTGGGATATTGCTTGTAGAACTTTTTGATTTTTGTTTTTTTTTCTTCCCCTTACATTTATTTATAATGTATGCATTGCAGTTACTTAGTTGAAAGACAACCATGGAACTTGTGTTTTTTCAAATTGTTTTTTTTTTTTCTTTTTTGTTATGAAGGTTAATAATGTGGACTACTGCATATAGATGACATTTTTTACAGTGTACCATACAGTAAAGATGCTGACAGAATTAGGTGTGCTTTTCACTGTTTTCTTCCTAACAAAAACTGTAGATATTGTCGCACTCCTCTCTCGGTTGATGCGAAAAGAAAGATGATATTCATTGTGAAATGATTTTGCTCATAATGTATCTTTATTATCTGTAATTCCAGGATGTATATTACCTTCTTTCAAGTAAAGGTTAAGTGCTTTGCATTAAAACCAGAACCAGGTTGTCTAATTTTGTTATCGTTTCACAGTGAAGTGTGGCGCTGAATTGTGAAAAAGAGGATTTTCTTTTATAACATGAGAAAATTACACTGACTTTTTGCTTTAAAAGCTTGTTAGCAAACACTTACTTACACGTGAAGCCTGCGTGGAACAACATTCATTTGGAGTCATTACCACAAATTCTAAATCTGCTATTAGCTCTTGTAGCTGTTGTTAGTCTCTACCGACTCCTGGGGAACATTTCTGGCTCTTTAGCTGCTAAATGCTCCACTGTGTTCACCAGATACCCATTAACTCTGCCTGATGCTAACAATCTAGTGTAGAGTGGGATATTTAGAGCATTTTTATTAAGACAAGCTATTAATTCACTATTAATTCTCAGTAGCTGTATTATCATGAATAGCGAGTTTCACATAGTTTCATTGTTTGCACACAGTAGACCTTATAGCCATTTTAAAGGCCTTTCTCTATAACATTAAATATTGATTATAAAAGCAACACTCCATGTTTAACCTCAGAAAAACATCCTGAGTTTCACAATGGAAAAACTCAGCTATTCTGTGGTTATTCAAATGTTACTTAAACACTGGTTGGTGTTGTTTTGATGACACACCGCTTCAAAACCACGGAGAAAAACAAAATAGGCTGTAGATACAAAACCTGGTGAACAATAAAAGATGTCAAAATATTATAGTCAAGACACTTGATGAAAATCTGTTTTTAGGGTCTCAAAGTGAATTAGGTTCACATATCATTACTCCCGTGTGTCTTCTGTGCATGTTAAACAAACCACATACAAAAATCTTTGTCCTGGAAAGTAAACTGACAGCATTGTATGAACTCTGTTTAACAACTATGGTACATCATGTTTCTGGATCTGCCACTGGGCGCATAAAGGTGACGGCGTCTCCTTTGACTGATTAAACTGTCAAAACGTCTGAACGTCACTCATCCAGTCAAACAGGATCTTGTGGCGTCATGGGGACTTGACGTACCTGAATGCTTGTATCACAAAGTCCTCCGCCCTTCTGACGGAGCCTCAGAGTCATGTCTGTGTCTCAGCACAACAACAGGACTGTCAGAGTAAGGTTGTCAAAGTTTTATTAAAGTGCCAAAGCTATAAGCAGGACCTTAGATGTAGATTTTGTTTAAATAAATGTGTGATTTTGGAGACGTTCTTAGTTTAGATTTGATTATCCAACTAATTTACAAATATAAATAAAAGATCAGTTTCAGAGTTTGACACCTCAGATGAATTGTTCTGTTGGCAAAGTGTCTACACAACGTGCACAACACCCAACTGGTATGTTTTGTTCATTTGCTGTACAAGGTGGTTTGTTTCAATAAATATAGAATGTTCTACCTTTTGGTAAAGAAATGTCCAGTACATAAAGTCTTACAATTTTAAGAACCAGTCCCAAGAGGGTGGAATTAAAGTGGTCATCGTCCATTAACGGGTGTAAATCCATCCCAGCAGAGACTGAAATAAAAACCACTATTAGTCCTTCAGCCACGATCCAGCCACTGTATTTACAGACGCTTTACTCAGTCCATCCTCAGTGCCCGTGTGTTTCAGCTGGACCCTGGCCGCCTTATATCAGGACATCCTCATCATCAAGGGCTTTTCTTCCTCTCGTTTGCTCAGCAGGTTCGAAAGCATGTAGGACGAGAAGAAGCAAAACTCCACGGCGTAGCTGAGCTCAAACAGCTCCAGGTTGACGCTCAGCATCCACTCAAATACAGCAGACACGTGGAGGTAATAGTACTCGTCCTGGGCGAATAAAATCGTGTCTAAAGGTTTTCAAGTTAAGGATGTTTGAAACTGTTAGCAGCAGTGAGAATGATCACTTGAGGAGCATGTAAACAATTTCCCTGACGTTTGTACCAAAGGGATCAATAAAGTTCTATATTCTTCTATTCTATGTCATTGTCTAATGTTCCTGTAGTAGGGGAGATCACATTAGGTTCACTAAAGACATACAGACTAAATCAGTTTCTCACAACCAAATGGAAGTTTATCGAGGCAAAATAGACCAAAAGTAACAGGACTTGTTTCTAGTTTTAAAAAGTCTTTTGGATACAAGGAAAATGTATTATCAATATGTGCACATTTGTGATGTTATGTTCTCTGAGGGCCAACTCTTATCATCCAGGAGAGCAGGACCTCATGTTCTTAGATACAGGCTAGTGTGTATATACAGTATGTATTCCCTTGTTTCACGTCATACAGGGGCCCAGAGAAGTCCCCCAAACTTTGAGCTGTGCTTCAATACCTCATCCAAAGTGCTTTTAAACATGTCATTAAACTCTACATTGCTCTAGTAGAAGACTGATGTTGCAGCTTCTACTTACAGTGAAGAGAAATGTGAAGTTGATTGTTTCAGGAAAACAATGGTTAAAGATTAATGCGGCTGCAAGTGTCATTAATACACGTCTGCTTCTGCGATGTTGACTGGTGTGCGGCCGGTCCCACTTTGTAAACAGAGCAGCAGCATGCCAGATCCAAATATGGCACAGCGGCACCGCAGCGCCGTGGAGAAGCTGGAGAGGATAACTCAGGCATCACTGCTGAGGTCTAATTGTCCTGTTTGAAACCACAGCAAATGGACCCTTTGCTGCCACAAACTCACCCAACATCTGTAGACATTAATTGTGCATCAACAGAATGTGGAATATATTTACACCACATAAAAACACAAGTGATTTCTGAAAGGATACAGCAGATGGTCACGATGGTTTGCACTATGGTGGAGATGATGCGCAGTGGGTAGAGAACCTTTTCATATCCTGTCAGCACACACTTTCCTGTTAGAACGGTGAGCAGGATGGTGTAGAAGCAGATGCACATGAAGCTGACGGCAGCTCCGAGGTAGTGAAGGAGGGCCAGGTATCCCGGCTGCGGAGGACAGTCAGCAGTTTCCAGTGTCAAAACAGGAAATGACAGTTAAAATCAAGCCAGCGATTGTTGTAAACCCTATTAGTGAACTATCAACTGACAGATTTGCTATTTCGAGACAAGAGCTTGGATGGTGAATATCCTTAGTCACATTGTTTTACCTTTGCATTATCACTAATAATGATAACTGGTTCCCATTCATTTCTCTTTAACTCACTGTTTTTGGTATTATAATGTCAGTAAATAGAAAAAAAATAATCTTATTTGGGTTTTCATGCAGAAAACAGCTGCTTGAGAGGTATATATAGTACAAAATAGAAGATTATGCAGTGCTGATGTTGGTATTAGGTCTCTAATATGCTTGTTATTAATATTACTGAAGTAGAACTTGAACTACTGTGTAATGTTACAGACTGAGGAAGAGGTATAAGAACTTTGCCCGTGCTGTACATCCATTCAGATGACATAAAACAAATAGTAACCCTCCTTTGTTTGCTTTTCCGCACAGGTGCAAATCGAAGCCGTTCAATTTTATGATACGTTCAAGGTTTCTCAGAAGTTACTGCTTTAGGAGATAAGGACCTCTCACAGTCTTACAGGCCCATGGATGTAGGTTTTATTTAAATAACGAGGAGGAAACATAAGGCAGGAATTTCTCCAGGAAATGGTAAATGTCAAACACTGACAGCCTTTTCCATATCAATTTACGGTGAAAACGTTTCTATATAAGCAAGTCCATAAATATTGAGGGGGATGTATCCCCTTTGTCCCATCTGAAATGATTACCTAAATTCAAGGCTGCGAATTAAACCAAATTCAAGTGTGGACAGTGGCAGACGCAATACTTACGTTACAGTTTCCGGCTGCAAAAGCCCCCATGGCTGCCACCACACCAAACACCAGCGCAACCTTGCTAAGCATGGAATTGCATGCATGCTTCTCCATAATATGGGCATGGTGGAATATACAGAACACTAGAACTAAAGAGGAGAACACAGTTAATGTAATACAGTTCCCTCGTATCATGTACAGTACATTAGACATCTAGCAGGTGAACTCACACAGAAAGGATCCTGCGTTGATTGTGGCTGTAAAAAGGGAATTCTCAGGTGAGTTTGTTCCACTTGTGCTGGAATCACAGAATTGATTCGGTTATTTTTTTAATTATGTCTCATTGTTTGATTGTAGGGAAGAGGACAAATGAAAGGTGAACTGAAGTGTGCTGTAGTTTTACCTGATGGTGGGAACCCGGCAGCATTCAGTGGTCTGATTCCCTTTGCAGAAGTTGTCACTACCCCTGAGAATGAATTACCAACATTTTGAAGGATCTGTCTGTATTCTCATTTTAGTGGTTAAAACAATGGAATAATGAGACACAACTCACCAGTCACTGAGGGAACAGACATGATTGTTGGAGAAGGCCAGGCCATATCTGGAAATACATGACAAAAGAAAAACGATAGTGACAAAACTGTTTCAATATTATGAGTTGATTTCATTTGAATTAGCATCAAACTACTGTCTGTTAGTTTTGTCTTGTTGAAATGTTGTAATACAGATTTTTAAAAAAAATCATTATCTTCTAGTGATTCAGAATAAAGTAGATAGTTAACAGCAATTTCACTCTGAATGATAAATATATATTTTCTGTGAAGCCTATGAAGTAATAAACCACCACAGCTAGGTGGGAGGATGACTGCCCGCTATCCTGATTTTGTTGAACCTGATATTTTGACAAATGTCTAATGTACATTCATCACAACACAAGTCATGTTGATTCCTCAATAAACCACCATAATGTCCATAATGTACTTGCTCAAAGGGAATCATAGGGTTTAGTAGCTTTCTCTATAAAATTTTGTAGGCTCTTAACCTCACCCTTTAATTAGTCGGACAATTTGGTACGGTGTATATTACTGAAGAGTGTTTAGTCGGGTAATTAGTCAGGTAAAACTGGATATTAGATAATATTATATAATTTCATAATATCTTAACCCTAATCTTTCTACTTGTAAATGGAATTTGTAACAATCTTCTTTTTTCTCTATTGGAAAACACTTTGGGTCAACATGTGTTGTTTTAAACGTGCTGTATAAATATTGGTGACCTGACTTGGAATATCTTCAGTCTATGTACAAATACGCAGTCTGAAGAATGAATCTGGGGGAAAAAAAAACCCCACTTGATTGCATGAATCAATATTCATGATTAAAAAAACTATACTGTATGTTAAGATCTCAGTCAAACACTATAACAAAACAGATGTGCATGTGTTCACTCATGACTGTTGATGACTAAATCTACTTAACATTTAATGTAGAAAAACAAGTAGGTTCACAAATTTGTTCCACAATATTGTCTTTTGGCATTTCTTGACAGTCCGGTGCGCACACCCCGCAGCAGAAAAAAACTGGCCAGATCACATATTTCAAGGGTGCTGTTCCATAACATAGGTGAAAGCTGAATTCGCTCATGTTTGTAAATTAAGTTTTTAGATTCAGGATCTCTATGAATGATATGTATTTAGATTCAGTTGAACATATGTAGAGCTTAAATATAAAAGTAAAAGAAATAAAAGAAGCATGTGAGACAAAAATGATACGATGAAGTGTCATAGTTTCCTGCTCATGGCCAAGTTTCAGTATTATCAGTAGAATCTAACTGCCCTCAGGCAAGATTGTACCATTCAATATTAGTCATGATAATCATAAAGTGAGTCTGATGTGTTGCCATCAGTAGTTCTTATCAGGAGTTATGTAAATGATGAAAAGCTGTATCCATTAAGATGGTTCACAAGGTAAAAAATTAACTCATGTGAAGTTATTTGTGTGACAGCACACACGTAGAGGCAACATGAAAGCTGTCATGAAATAATGAATTGCTGTAGTAGTTTCACAGGGGTGTAAAAACAAAAGAGAAAGTGTGAGTTTCGGGTAAACTTACACGGTCCATGTTCCGATGAGGGACACCAGGGAGAGGGTGATAGGGAAGATAATCCAGAGCACCATGTCTCTGTAGCGAGGAAGACAAGTATAAATTTAAAACAAAGATATCCTAAATCCAGGTGTCTCAGCAGTAGATCTCTTCAAGTTGTTGTTGTAGATCCCTCATGGAGTCAGCCTCATACCCACATAGCAGGATTAGTACTAGAACAAAAAATAAAGTCTTCACCCAGTAGGATAGAAATGTGTTCCAGGTCCTTTGAGCAAACAATCACACTGATGTAGTTCTTCCTCTATCCAGAGTCCTGCTTATAAGGGAGAGTCTCAGTGTGTCTCCGCCACTCCTTCAGAGCACCACCTCAGTGTTGGGAAACGTGGGTTTGGCCTTCTTGAAACTGTCACATTGTTTGTTTTATTCCAAACAAACTCACCTTTATATGCTCCATCTGAAGCCAACTACTGTGGAGTTTCTTATATACTACCAGCTGACAGTGGATGTAAATATGAACTCTGTAAAGTAAATGTTTGTATATGTGCACAGACTGGGATTTTGAGAATACTCATGAGGTTGGAGAGGTGGTCGGGCTGTTACAAAAGACATGCTTTGAATTCTTTGTCTGATATGCCTAGTTTTTTTTTGTTGTTTTTGTCATTCAGTGGCGGAAAGTACATTTATTTCAAAAAGTACTATTTAAAGATAAATTTACTTCAGTCTACACTTTGGTGGGAATATTGTATTTTACTTTTATTTGTGTCTGACTGTAATTAAATTGTAGCATGATTACACAAGCGGACTGACACCTCTAAATAAATGACATGAATCTGTTTTTCACAACTGGTTTTGTCTGAACTGTTAATATTTTGAGGAAAAACAATCAGGAAGAGAGACAGCCACAGAATAAATGGCTGTTAATATTTAATTCCAGCCATGCTGCTTTCTGCACAAAGTGCACCTTCCTCACAAAAAAAGCTGCTAACTCTGTATTTAATGTTAACAACTGTATTTATTCCTGTATCGTCAGAAGCTGCAGTTTTTACTAAATCTTTGTTCTCTTTAAACATGCTCTTAAATACATAACACTCGTTTTGTTTAAATGTATGTGTGTTTTTGTCTAAGTGCTTTGACAGCAAAGAAAAAAAAATGGAGTCAAATTCCTTGTACCTTTCTGATTCTGAAAATTAATTAATTAGTGCTCCTAGTCTGGTGACATACTTTTTTTTAGCTACACAATAATTAACTATTTTAATCTTATAAACAAAACAGTTCTGTGTATAATCTTAAAAAATAAAAAAAAAAGAAATCCAAAATCCCCCCCCCCCAAAAAAAAATGTTTCCAGTGTTTCACTCAGAAAAGAAACAAAAAAAAAGGTAGTATGAGGAATCAAGGCTAAATCCAGTCCCGATCGGGAGTGTGCGTCTCCACCACACGAGGTCCCCATTTTCAAAACAAACAAAATGGCGGCGCACATGAGATGGGGTCTTTACCAGTTGTTACGTGCAAGAAATACGGCTCATTTTAGGTTTGAACCTTTGCAGTTGTGACATATCGTTGTGTTCGCGTTTTTGACTACTCATACAACAAGTTGTAATGTTTGTGTAAAGTATAAACTCGGTATTTCGACGTGTGTTGGAGATTATACTTTTAGCCAGCTAGGTAGCTAGCCAGGAAACTGCGACACAAGTATCGGTTCGTGTTTCTAACTTAATCCCTTCCAACTGGATATGGGTAGAGATATCGGAAAATTTCTATTCTATTCGTTATTACTTCATATTTTGTCGTCCTTAATGTCATGTGTGTGTATTCCTCATGTCAAGTATGTAGCTTAGCCGCTAGTCGTTAGCTAGCGCTGATTACAAACTTTATTCTCAGATTGAGCTTCGGGATCCCATTGCTGCTTTCCACGTTTGTACTTTAAAACCGAGCTAGCGGTTAATTTAAACGTCTGACTTTGCTTTCATTTATCAACTCTGCCTGAATATTTAACCCTGCCTTGAAAAATGAATGAGTTAAAGTCCCTAGAGGACGCAGAGACACGGTCTGATACGCTTTACTCTCTGTAAGGTTTCCAACCAAGAACAGAAGGTCATACCACTCACAGTCCGCGACCCAGAGCTTCAGAAGAGCTCAGCTTCAGCCCAGGACAGGAATCACACACTCCTCAAGTGAGAAAACATTGTTTGGACGCCTTACTTCATTCACTTATAAGCTGTCATCTTGTTCGAACACATATGTCAATGACAAACAGCAAAGAATAACGCATTTAATCGTAATGAGGTTTAATAATGTCTTCCAGTAAGACAACTGTCCATCCAGACTCAAGACACTCCAAATCCCAGAAGCTTGAAGTTTCTCCCCGGTAAACCTGTCCTAGGAAGTGGGACACTTGACTTTCCTTCTCCGAACTCAGCTGGATCTTCATCTTTAGCCAGGTAGGGTGTCAGGTTTACTGTTGTACTTGTGCTGTTTAAGGGAAACTTTTCCAGTGTTTCCAGGCCTTGTGATCCAGAAATCAAAAAAAGTGTTTTGGACTAACACCAGGACAAAATAATGTGTGTGTGTGTGTGTGTGTGTGTGTGTGTGTGTGTGTGTGTGTGTACATTAATGTGTTTTCACACTGATGACATGTCTCGTTTACTTCTTAGAGTAACCATACATTTCTATACAAAGTGCTTGATGGAAATCATGAACTACATGACTTAATTAAACAGTTACTAAAAACAAAAGAAATAACCAGAAGGGAATAAAATAGGGTTTTTCAAAAAAGACTCTAAACGAGCAAAAGCGGGGAAGTAACATATCAAACATTCATGAAAGCTTTCCAATGAAAGGATGTTTTAAATTACACTAAAGATGTTGCCAGTCCAAACGAGCAGACTGGGTGCTCCAACAGCAGGTTGCTTCATGTTTTTGCTTTTTGTGAAGCAGGCTAGTGGAATTTGTGGGACCACTGAATATAAGGTGATTGCTCACAAACAGACAAAAAAGAAGAGAATGGAAAAGATGAGCACTCTAATAAGTTTATGTCAGCTTATGAAAACTGTTTGGGAAAATGAAGAATACACTTTTATATTTCACGACACAGTTTAATATATGCGTCTGTGGCTTTCCCATTTGCCATTATTATGATTGTGTCTTCATCATTGTGACTGTGAGGGGGTTACTTGGTTGAAGAGTACATACAGTCAAAGTAACAGATGTACCCTTTGAAAATTACACTGTGGTCCTGCAGGGTTTTCTGACAAAAGCAATCGACGACGTTAAAGCATTGTGTAGATGGGATGTTTTGTTTGCTGATACATTTGGTCTTATCTCAAGTCTATGTTGTAATCACTAAATATACCAAAACAACTTCATGATGCCATGATGTTTTTTTTAATTCTTGTTGAACAATAACATGATAACATGTTTCTTTCAGGGACCTGTTTGAAATTGAAGGCGTAAAAAGTGTGTTCTTTGGGCCAGACTTTATCACAGTCACTAAAGTAAGTATCGAATGTGTTCTGACAGCTTGTTTCTCTGATTTTACTAACATTGAATCTTTGAGGAGAGGTTGGTTTGAGATGCTTTCTTCTTTTTTTTCAGACGGATGAGGATGTAGAGTGGACAGACATAAAGCGCAATGCTTTAGAGGCCATTGCTAAGTTTTTCGAGAGTGGAGACCCAATAACAACAGGAGCAGTGCACCATGAAAGCAGTGAGTGTACAATGTGGAAATATGCAAGTGCCTGACTTAACATTGAGTAAATATTTTCATACTTTACATTTCCTTTATTGTAGGTCTTTCTGAAGATGATGATGACATTGTGTCTATGATAAAAGAGCTCCTGGACACCAGAATCAGGTACAAAACTCCTCATTTTGAGAGCATTTTAGGTGATAACTTTAATTTACATTTACATTGTGTTGCTATTAGATAACTCACATTTTGAGAGGTTAGGCATTTTAAAATGAATTCAGTCAGTATTCTGTTCTTTTTTTTCTTAGCACTCACAAAATGAGTTTGACAGTGTTGTAAGAGATAAGATATAAGTCTTTATCTGTGTGTCCTTTGTGCTGCCTTGTTCTGTACAAACTGACATGGCCTCTTTCACTCACAAGACCTACAGTGCAGGAGGATGGAGGCGATGTCATCTTCAAGGGTTTTGAGAACGGCACAGTCAAATTGAAGCTGGTCGGTTCCTGCACAGGATGTCCCAGCTCCACAGTCACCCTCAAGAACGGCATTCAGAACATGATGCAGTTTTATATCCCTGAAGTAGACAACGTGGAGCAGGTGAATATCAAGATGGGCGTTCTTGTAGATGTGGCGTTTCCTTGAGATTAAGTTTCACTTGATGCTGTTCTAGTGTTTGTTTTAGAACCTGCTATAGAGACAATTAAATTCTACGTTAAAATTGTGGTCTAACTGCTCTTGATGCAGTGAGACCAGACAGTGATTATTAATCTGTGGGTGCAGTTTTGCAGCTTTGGACACCGAGTCGAAATGAAATGAAGAAAAAGAGAAATAAACATGTTTTTTTTTTTTTTCAGATTTCATTTGCAATGTTTGCTCCTACACTGAGTTGATTTTCTTTCTTCTTCTTTTTTTTTTTTTTTATCAAAAATATAATATGTCTTTTTTGTGTTTGTCTGTGTGTGTGTGTGTGTGTGCATCCAGGTTGAAGATGAAGTGGATGAAATCAACGCAAAGGTTTTCACTGAACTAGAACGCAAACTAAAGGAATAAGAACTTCTTTATCCAACTCACTCTTGAACTCTGTTAGAGGAAAATGCTTCACTGTGGACAACTCAGCCATGCATTATTCTAAGAAATTACCATTCTATATCGTATGAAGATAAAAATAAGATTTCCTGCTGTTTTGTGCGCATACTGTTATAAATTCAAGCAGTAATTGATATGTACATACTGTATTGACCTGCTTCCAAAGAAGGACAACATACTGTATACCTGTATGCAGACAGTGAAGTCATTTTCTTGTCTAAACGAAAATGTTTGGCTGTAATCGCTGTAAATGTTGTGTTGTATTTATTTCTTATGAATGTTTTATATTTTGAAAGAATATTTTCTTAAGATGAAGATACTTGGAACGTTGATGACATTGGTCCGGTCTTGCAGACGGAAGTTTTGATAAGTATTGCAGTTGTTGCTGCCATTCCTAATGAAACAGAACTGAACGGTTTTTGCTTTTTAATGCATCATTAACAAGTGACATGATGTATATTAGTGTTATTGAGGCTGCAATTTATTTATCATAAATAGGCTTACACTGTTACATCCTAGAAATATGTTCACTGTATTACTCTTCTTTGTGCTTCACTCCAAACATTTACTGTATCACATTAAAGTTCACGGTTTGAAAACTAATCTTTGTTGCTGAGACAGTTTGTGTACTAATTTTTAGGGCTGCAGCTAAAGATTATTTGATTCTTGATTATTTTCTCGATTAATTGGTTGTTTGGTTGATAACATTTCAGAAAAGGCTGATCACAAAGCCCAAGATAACGTCCTCAAGTATCTTCTTTCATCCACAACCCAAAGATATTAAGTTTACTGACACACACAAAAAACATCAAAGTACTATGATGCAATAAAACGTCAAAATACAAATTACAACAATAGACACTGGATTTTAAGTTGATAAAATGGGAGTCTTTGTAATTGATTTGGTGTGGCTGTTTGTTTGAACTCTGACTGCGTTCGATATGTAGGTGTTCAACGGATATAAAAGGATGGTGATCTTTGACTAAATCTTTATATAACGGCTGATTAGAATATATATTTTTAATCTGTTTTGCTCAATCTCATTCAAATAATATGAAAAGTAAATGTGTTTACACAATATACAGTCTGAATACTGAACCTCGGTCGCCTGGAGCATGGATCGGGTTTTCCATTCCGCGCATGCGCAGTTGATGTCCTTATTCGGCCGGTGCAGAGGGACAGCGGTAAGCTGTGTTGACAATGTTTTAATCTAAACCTTACTCCGTTGGTAATGGTGAATTTTCCGTGTAAATTTATAGTGCATTTACTAATTGCATGCAAGTGTTTTCTTGTCTGTTTTTATGTTTTTGAAACGTTGGTCATTCACTGCCAAGTGCCAGGGCCAACGGACGTTTATTGAGGCCTCGCTGTCGATAACAAACCTAGCACGAGGCTAATCTGGCAACAAAGCTAACGGCGTAAAAATGCTAAGTGTTAGCTATATGTGTGTAGCTACAGTATCTGTCTTACAGCAGCTGCGCTGCGTTTTTGTGTGTTTATAGCCAAATAAGGTCAATTTTCTTAATGATGACGATGCCATAATAACGTAGCGTGAAAAGCTTGAATCAGCGACTGTAAACTACAACAAAAACAGCATTAGCTTGCTAGACAAACGTTAAATGTTACCTAGCTTAGCTGCTTTCGCTAGCCTACTGTCAGTAAGTAGCTAACGTTAGCCAGACTGCCGTACAGCCCGTTGCTGTGTCAGCACTTGTTAACCTATGGAACCCTGCACATGCCAAGGATGAAATCGAGTTCATGCGTCTGAAGTGGTATTTCTTTCCTCCAACTACTTGCTTCAGCTGTTTATGTCATCTGTTTATGTTGACGCAATGGCGTAAATGTATTGTCATATAACCATATGAACATATTGTTAAGGTTGCTAAGGCTTTTGCAATTATTGTAAATAACATTAATGTGAAATCTTCCTTTGAAAAGGTGGTTGTGTTCTCGATCAGTTTGGTGCATATCAATATTTGAGAAAGCAAGTTATGGCATTCACACCATAATAATTATGATTTAGTCTCCTTCGCACAATTTATAATACGGTTGTAATCCTACATTGGACGTAGTTTAATCCTCATTGGGTTTTTTTTTTTTTTACCAGCAGTCTTTGGTTGCAAAGACACACGTTTTGTAACCTGCTGCAATCTGGATTGGCTGCTTGTGATTCATAATGTTTTAATTATGTACTGTGGGACATGGATAAGTTAAATATCGTACTACGCTATCTTTGATACCCCAAGCTTACTTTATGGTTGAATGAATCTATAATTTGTTGTTACAGACATTTGTGTGTTCAAATTATCCAAGTCCTACCAACATACCTCATGTTTGCTTTGGATTGTTTATGTTTTTAGCAACAGCATTGGCCTGGTGATCAGAGACTGCTCTTAACCTGAATGAGTCATGGCCCAATTCGGGGGACAAAAGAATCCGCCGTGGGCGACTCAATTTGCTGCCACAGCGGTGTCCCAACCAGGCCACTCAGGACAGTCTCTTGACCTCAACAGCCTGCACTGTGAGTATAGTAAACCAGAGGGTTTGTGTTTTTTAATCTCCCATTTTACTGGGTGCTCAGTTACACTCTCTTTCTTATTGTACTCTTTATTTACTCCTTAGGCTAATTCATGCTTTCTGCATATGCAAGGGTAAATTTCACCACCCACCTAAGTCTTTGAGGGTCTGTGTGGACCCTTCAAATTTGGGACTGTGTGGATTGTACACACTTCAGGCATGTCAACTGCACATGCAACAGGAAAACAATTGGCGCTTAAGAGAAATGCTTGTTAATATTGCAGACTATACATAGAAATTCTTTGTCATCCACACCTTTATAATTTATCATAAAAGAGTTAGAAGTAATTACTGTTGACTTGGGAGGAATTTTGACTTGTGCATGATTTCCATTAATGGAGGCCTAGCACAATAGGAAGTCTTAATTCTCCAGAAATCCTGTGGTATGTCTACCCACTGTGCTCAGCACATCTTACGAATATTGGTAACACAGTGCTACGACCCAGTTTGCTATCAGCTGCTGTATCTTGTGAAAGTGCAAAGTCACAATGTGCGTCTACACAGAAAACATGAATTGGCCCTAATCTCTCTGACTCTTACACTTGCCATCTCTTCCCTGTCCTCTTCTACACCAACATTCCCCATTCAGTGTTTTTTTTCCACATCTCTCTAAATCTGGTGCCTCATTTTTTTTATACCTTCCATAGCTCTTGGAGTGCAGCAGCCGTCTCTTCTGGGAGCATCTCCCTCTGTTTACTCTCAGCAGTCAGCCTTGGCGGCAGCCTCTCTCAGCAACCAGTCTGCTGCAAACTATCAGCTGTCTCAGCAAACTGCTGCTTTGCAGCAGCAAGCTGCAGCAGCTGCTGCTGCAGCACTACAGCAGGTCAGTCACAATGAAGTAGCCTTAAACTCAGTCAGAAATGTGTGCATCTTGCCCTGGTCCCGTGTAACATTTTAGATCAGTTACTATCTCTCTGTTGTTCCCTTTAATGTGTGTAGTCTCAGATTAATACTGCGCTCCAGCAGTATCAACAACAACAACAGCAGCAGCAACAACAACAACAGCAACAGCAGCAACAGCAGCAACCACCCCAGCAACCCCCTCAACAGCAACTGTACAATGTACCTCATCAGGTGAAGCACATGTTTGTTTGTTTTTTTAATTTTGTGTAACACTTTATTTTGAATAAACCTGTACATATACTAACCTCGAATTGTATATTGGTTGGTTTAGACTCTCATTAGCTTTGTGGTTTATATTTAGATTTCTGTCGTGGTATCAGCAAAACTGAACATAGGTGTTGTTTGGAAGATGAGCGTAGGTCAGCTCATACAGCTCAAAGCTATGACTGTCCAAGTAATCACTTTGCACCTTTATGTTAAGATTAAATTCACTCCTGGAGTTTTGTGCTTATACATTTGTTCGTGCTGCTTTAGTCCTCCATGTTTCTTCACAACTTGGCAGCATGACAGATCATGTGAATATGCCATAGGGGTAATTTGACACAACTACTCAAGCAACGGCATGTTTGTATGTAGCACGGAATAGATCTTGTTTCACAAGCAGAATCTGTTAGTGAATATACCACCATCGGCTGTAGAAAATCTTCATGAGAACATATGTTGTGCCTTTGCATAAATCAGCAAAATGTTCACTTTTGGAATTATTTGTTTTTCTTCTCATGTCACAGCTTCCGCAGCCTCAGCAGGCACTGCTTTCTCAGGTAATGTGCAAAAAACACTCTTACACAAGCTTAAAATAAGACATACACACCAATATCAGCCTTATCTGTTTATATCTTGGGGTTTCAAACAAAAATTCAGGCCAAATGTGTCCACAGCTGACTACATGAAGGCAATTTTGTCTGTTGTTTCCTGATGTTTTTCAAGATTTCACTTTGACTTTGTGTTTAGTTTATTTATAGGATAAAAGGACAAAGATGCCTCCCTTAGCATTCTTGCCGTGTATAAGTGACTGTAGTATTTACTGAATGGGTTTAAGAGTGCAACTAAATGGTTTTTTTTGGACCCTCAGCCCCCTGTCGCCTTGCCCACCAGCCTGAGCCTGTCCAACCCTCAGCAAACAGCCCAGATTACTGTGTCCTACCCAACACCACGCTCAAGCCACCAACAGCAGACACAGCCACAGAAGCAGCGAGTCTTCACTGGTGTCGTCAACAAGCTGCATGACACGTTTGGCTTTGTAGATGAAGATGTCTTCTTTCAGCTAAGGTGAGGGGCTATGGTCCTTGGCATATCTCAGCCTGTATTTTTTCATGGAATGCTAAGTTAAATACCTTCACATGCTAAGTTAAATACCTTCACATGCATTATGCGAACACTGTGTTATTTCTTATGCCAGTGTTAACCTGCCCTTGCTTCATAAGGATAAATGCATGCTTTTATCAATTTGAATCTGATGTTTCATAATATACAGAGATTTCTGGACATGTCTGAATGCTTTTTTAAAAAATACATTTTCTAGTGCTGTGAAGGGGAAGACTCCCCAGGTGGGTGACCGTGTCCTAGTGGAAGCTGTGTACAACCCGAATATGCCCTTCAAGTGGAACGCCCAGCGCATCCAGACCTTACCTCAGCTCGCAAATCAGTCGGTGAGAACATTGATTTGCACTCAAGAATAATATTTTTGAGTATAATAATACAGTTTAGGGATTTCTCTTGAAAATATAGTTGACTTTATGTTTTTGATGTTATAATTTATAATTACAATAAGGTCTGCCTTAGCGATTTCGCTGCTTTTATTCAATGTGTTAAAATGGACTTATCCACTACAAAAAGGTGACGACTTGGCTTTTTACTCTGCCTTTAGTACTTAAAAAGGATTTTAATCATCCTTGTTTACTACATAATAGTATCCACATTGTAACTTTGTCATGTTTGAAACACAGGAAGCAACTTCTCATAATTTGAAACCGGTTTGGTTACTTTGTACTGAACGTGTGTCTGCTTGTTTCAGTTCATTGCCTTTATTGATCTGAGTAAACATGGAAAGTGATAAAAGCTATGCGGTAAAAATGACAACATGTTTATCAGACTTTTAAGTACCAAAAAGTGGGATCCACAAG